CGCCCCCTCTCCCTCCCGCTCTTTTTCTCCCTCTTTGCCCGCGCACTCCAGTGCCCAAGGCTGCGGGCGCAGCGCTGCACGGAGTCCCCGCGACGCGCGCTGGTCGCCCCGAAGGGGTCCCAGCAACGCACGCGGGTCGTCCGCTGCGCGGAGCAAAGTGAGCTAGCTGGCTGGCCGGGAGCGGGCAATGCTATGGGCGCCGGGCAGAGCGACGACGGGCGAACGAGGCGCTGGGCAGTGCGACGCGCACGGGTCGTCCGCGGCGCCCGGCCGAACTGTGGGACAGCCTGGATATGGCGCGGTTCGGGCGGGCCGCTCCCCAGGTCATGCCTCGCGGATAAACTCGGTGAAGCCCAGCTCCCAGGCGAGGGTCGTGGCCTCCCTCCTGCACCCTCCAGCAATGTCGTCGATCCTGGGCATCAGTTCCGGGGGGCAGCGGTCGGCATCCTTCCGATAGCGCCCCTTCTCGAAGTGCACGTGGCCCGGAGGCGGGGCAACCACTGGGGAGAAGTCGGGGACGATATCAATGGATTCGGCGAAATCACTACTGGTGCTGCTGACGCTTTCAGAGTCACTCGTCTCCGCGGCCTCCGAATCGGCTCCGGCTTGCTGTTCGCTCTTCTCCGCCAGATTCGCCAATACAGCAGTGATCAAATTGCCCTTGCCATGTCAAGTTCCGAAGGCCGCGGCTTCCGCAGCGTGCCACAGGAAGACGGATTGACCATGTATGTCCACTTTCTTCGCCCGGAAAGGCGCGAGGAGGAGACCCAATCGGTCCCTCGTCATAGGCTCCTCTCCGGCGTGTGGGCCGATCACATCCTGAATAAGGTGTTCCACTGCCGCCCGGCGAAGGGCATTGTCATATACATCGCTCCGTGCCCCCTGCATCTGGCGCTCCGCGCTGACGATGGGAGTCCCCCTGACTCGTGCCCATCGTCCCCGAAGGGAGTCACGGCAACGAGCGGGGGTCGTCCGACGGCAAGGCAACCCTGCCCCGGGCCTGAGCCAAAGCAGTTGCAGGGGCACCTCCACATCCCTCTCTGTCTCTCTGTCGCTCTCGCAACTTCTCCCTTCCCGCTTCCCGAAGAGCCTCTCCAAGAGGGTGGGACCCTGACGGAAAGAAGGTCCGATCATCATCATCGTCATCGTCCTCCTCGGCTTCCTCCTCCTCCGCCTCCTCCTCCTCCTCGTCTCCGCCTCCCCCTCCTCCTCCTCCTCCTCCTCCTCCTCGTCCTCCTTCCGTTGGGGATGGGGGCGAGATGAGGGATATGAGCTCTAATACGTTCCTGGGACCCCTCCCGGGGTCCAAACGCCTCCGACTCTTCTGGTGCGGAGCTGCGTCGAGCCCGGCTCGGGGATGCCGGCGGCACACCTGATCGGTCAAAACTCCTCCTATGCGCGGCGGTTCGTGTCGTGACGACCCTGTTGCTGGTTCCTGACACCGCGGGGAACGTTCAATCTCGAACGATCTCCGCTCCTGGAGGCCCCTGGATGCTCTCGACCCCATTTTCGTTATTGATTTCGCGCCGTGGGTGGGAGGGTTGGGAGGGGCACCCATTGGCAGCACGCCCTATCCTCAGCTGTCTTGCCTGCTCGGCGCTCTGCAATTCGCCCGCTCCTCGATCGAGGCCTCGATGTTTGAGCCCCGATGCCATGAACACAACGCGGCATCTGGAGGCCGCTTCTGGGCGCTGGGGCCCTAAACAAAACTACCCGGGACTGACCACCAGGATGGGGTCGAGAGGTCTGGGGGCTTCGCGACGCGACAAAAATCGGAACCTGGAGCCCTAAACAATACTACCCGGGACTGGCCACTAGGATGGAGTCGAGAGGTCCGGGGGCGTCGCGACGCGAAACAAATCGGAAGTCTGAGGTCTCACCCTCCTGGCCAAGATGTCTCCCCGTGCTCTTCTGCTCCACTCTGATATCCATCCTCCCCTACCCGTCATCCTCCACCTTCCCGTCCTCATCCTCCTCCTCCTCCTCCTCATCGTCGTCGTCAGCAGCGTCAGGGTCGTCATCATTCTCAGCAGCAGCGTCGCCATCATCATGAGCATCGTCGTCATCAACGCCATCTTCTGGACGATGATGATGATCATCGTCATCGTCATCGTCATCGACATCATCATCATCACCATCATCATCATCATCATCATCATCATCATCATCATCATCATCATCATCATCATCATATTCGGCATCATCATCGTTATCGTCAGCACTGTCATCTTCGTCATCGTCACCATCGTTAGCATCATCAGCATCGTGACCATTGTCATCGACAGCATCATCACCATCATCATCATCATCATCATCATCATCATCATCATCATCTGCATTATCATCAGCCGCATCACCATCATGATCATCCGCATCATCATCATCATCATCATCATCCGAATCATCATCATCATCATCGTCATCATCTTCAGCATCATCTTCAGCATCATCATCTTCATCATCATCATCATCATCATCATCATCATCATCATCATCATCACCATCAACATCCTCATCGTCATCATCGTCTTCGTACCAGTCGAAGGGGGCTACCTCCTCTTCCTCCTCATCTTCCTCCCACTCCCTCTCCTCCTCCTCCTCCTCCGACCTCCTCCTCCTCCTCCTCCGTTCCTCCGCAGCCCACTCCGTTCGTCCACCTCAGAACTCCGACGGCCTCCGACGCAGGTGTCCGCAAGTCTCCGGACGCATCCCCGAAGCCCCCCGAGGCCACCAGTGGGCCTGGAACGCCCTCGACAACTCTCGGGCAACAACGCCAGTAGCTCGGGCACCCGGGCTGGTTGCGGCGATCGCCCCTGGAATGCTGTCGGCGAGGCGCAGCTGCTGGGTTACATATCGCAGCCTTCAAAAACAAACGCATGGAACTAACCCCACTTTCGGACCGCCGCCACTGAGGCTTTCGGTGGAGCCCACGAAACGTGTCAGGGAGTGCCGAAATGGGGGTGACGGCTCCCCTATGGGGCCACGAAGCGCTGTCCTGGGCGGGGGAGACGCATGCTGACTGCGCCACTGGGGCCTTCGGTGGAACTCCCTATGGGGCCACGAAGCGCTGTCCTGGGCGGGGGAGACGCATGCGAACTGCTCCAATGGGGCCTTCGGTAGGGCTCCCCATGGGGCCACGAAGCGCTGTTCTGGGCGGGGGAGACGCATGCGAACTGCGCCACTGGGGCCTTCGGTGGGGCTCCCCATGGGGCCTCGAAACGCTGTCCTGGGCGGGGGAGACGCATGCGAACTGCGCCCCTGGGCCTTCGGTGGGGATCCCTATGGGGCCACGAAGCGCTGTCCTGGGCGGGGTAGACGCATGCGAACTGCGCCCCTGGGCCTTCGGTGGGGATCCCTATGGGGCCACGAAGCGCTGTCCTGGATGGGGGAGACGCATGCGAACTGTGCCACTGGGACCTTAGGTGGAGCTCCCTATGGGGCCACGGAACGCTGTCCTGGGCGGGGGAGACGCATGCGAACTGCGTCACTGGGACCCTCGGTGGGGATCCCTATGGGGCCACGGAACACTGTCCTGGGCGGGGGAGACGCATGCGAACTGCGCCAGTGGGACCTTAGGTGGCGCTCCCTATGGGGCCACGAAACGCTGTACTGGGTGGGGGAGACGCATGCGAACTGCGCCGGTGGAGCTCTCTATGGGGCCACGAAGCGTGTAAGGGGTGTGCCGAAGCTGATGGCGATGATTGTGACGATGACGGAGATGATGATGACGACGATGGTGACTGCGACGATGACGATGATGACGACGATGATGATGGTGATGGTGATGACGATGATGATGATGTTGTTGATGATGATGATGATGATGGTGATGATGATGATGATGGAAAGAGGGAGGAGGGGGAGGAGGAAGGAGAGGAGCGCGGGGCACCGTCTCTTCAAAACGAGGACCCAACACCACAGGATGGTTGCGTGACGATGACGAGGAGGAGGGAGGAGGGGAGGAGGAGAGGAGGAGGAGAGGACGCGGGGCGCTGTCTCTTCAAAACGAGGACCCAACACCACAGGATGGTTGGGAACTCATTGCCCCAAACAATTTGCATCACGCAGGTTGCATCGCACGGGTAGCGCATCGTATAGTTTGCGCCACGTGGATTGCATCGCATTCAACGCACTACGCAGACTCTTCGCGTGATTTGCGTCATATAGGTTGCGAAGCATAAGTTAAACCGTACAAGCATTGCACGACAAAGAGTGCACCTCGAGAGGGCAAGTACCCACTATCTAGGGTCCACGCTGGCAAACATACAACTTCACGAACCAATTGCTATCGAATGTGTAAGTAGCATTGCATGATCCTCCCCCTAGCGATGGAAGTCGTCACGTTCCACTGAAGGGTGCTCGCGCCGATGGAATCCTTGCTGGCAAGAGAGTCACTCATACGTTGTTCCAGAGGATCGCGCGCTACGACTAACTACGATCAGGCAGGCTTTGGATTAATATGTCTCGCCCCAGAGCTTTCAGGAATCCTTTCTAGAGCGTTTCGGAGCGCTCTGGCACGGCAGCGGCGTCCGATGCATCCTCCAGGCCCGCCGGCAGCCGTATATCGCGAGTGATCTCAACCCATCCTGCTTGTGTCTTGCACGACCTGCCCTCGCTAAAGTACGTACACTGAGATCCTTCAGCTCAGCGATCTGGCCCTTGAGCGTCTCCATGGCGACTGGGGAGGTGAGGATTACTGAACTAATGGATTCCGGTATGCCAGGACACCGAGATTCTTTCAGTTCAGTGATCCTCGCCTCCCCAGTCGCCGCGGAGACGTTCAGGGGCCAGATCGCTGAGCTGAAGGATCTCAGGGGGCGTATCAAGAGTACACGCCTGGTCAAAGGCAACGACCAGCCTTCACCTGATCCCGTGCCCGCCTACTGGCCCTGTCCACTAGCCGCAGCACGCGAGCTGGAGCAGCAGCAGCAGCAGCAGCGGCGCCAGCGGCAGGGATGAAATGAATGAGCGGCTGGCTGGGCGGTGCGGGCGCGCGCCAGGTCGCGCCAGACGCTGCTGGCTGCTTCGAGGCCTTCGAGTGGTACACCCTTGACAGGCCTTTCACTACCTCTCCTCCTCCTCCTCCTCCTCCTCCTCCTCCTCCTCCTCCTCCTCTTCCTCCTCCTCTTTCTCTGCATCCTTCTCTTCCTCTTTCTCTTCATCTTCTTCCTCCTCGTTCTCTTTGTCTGGACTCTCCAGATTCCTCATCGTCCTTCCCCCCCTTCACCTGAAGAGAACGACCTGGATTTTTTGTCTACCCCTTCGTGCTGCTGCAACCCCAGGCTGAAAGGCCTTTTGCGCTGCAGCTGCTGGCAGAGTGAGGAAAGGCGACTCCAGCATGTTAGTAACCTTCCCCCTCCCATGCGCGCTGATTCGACCTACTTCTCTCCTCCATGACTGGCACTGGAAAAGCCGAAATCCGAGGCTCACATGCCGCCCTGTGTCTAGCTCCCATTCCTGTTGCTTGGCTTCCGAGGTGTTCGCCGAAAGACAGTATGAACATAGTCAGAAAGGTCCTTCGTCGACTCATCATAGATATGCAGGTCCAGCAGGCTCCAGGGCATCATGTCCTACATTTGCTGGTTCGCTGTTCTATGCGAGGGAGGCTCGATCTTCGGGATGCGTTCGGAGCAGTGATGGATCAAATTCGCGTCATCACCTCCAGCGGCCCATACCCGGACCCCCAACGTCGAGATTTTTTTCGCAACGTCGACCCCCAGAGATCTGGACTCCTTCCCCGGGACTGGTTTCTCGTGCCGAGTTGACTCTTTGGCGGCCCCGAGGCCCGGCGAGGGCCCCCCGGAGGCCGAAAACTACCCAAAACCCGCCGCTCCAACTATTTGGGGAGCGTCGGGTCTCTGGGATTATGCCCATACGTCATTCACCTGAGCCCTAAAGCTGCCGAACCACTCGCCCTGGACTTAGGTCGGGCGTGTCCTCCTACAGGCAGACCTTGGAGGAAAAAGCAATGACAAATAATCAAAACATATTCGAAAACTATTCAAACATTGTCAAAAATAGCGACCCCTCCCCCGTCGAGATTCTTCCGCAGCGCGAGGGGGTCTGGGTGCTCCTGCCCTTGCTGGACCAGGGGGGGGGGGGTCCACGATCCGGCGCCGTCGACAGCCACGCCCCCGTCTCTCCCTGCGTGCCGCCCCAATGGGGCGGCCTGGTCTCCAGGCCTTCCTCCTTCCACGTCCAGGGTTAAGTCGGGCACGTGCCTCTGCAGGAGGAGTACTCAGAAACAGGTGAAAATATAGTCAGGGGACGATTTTTTTTGACAATTTTTGATTAGCTTTGGCATATTTTTGATTATTTTTCATTGCTTCTTCCTCCAAAGTCTGCCTGTAGGAGGACACGCCCGACCTAAGTCCAGGGCGAGTGGTTCGGCAGCTTTAGGGCTCAGGTGAATGACGTATGGGCATAATCCCAGAGACCCGACCCCAAATAGTTGGAGCGGCGGGTTTTGGGTAGTTTTCGGCCTCCGGGGGGCCCTCGCTGGACTTCGGGACAGTTCGAAAACGACTCCGGACGAACAGCCTGCCTTCTAGGGAAATGGTTCAAACCTCCAGGGCCCACACATCGAAGAAATTGAAACGGCCGGATGTCTGGGATGGTTAGCAATTGCCGCGCATCACCAGCAAGCTCGTATGCAGAGCTGATTTCTTGGTCGGGTGCAGCACACTGCAAGCCTCTCTCAACGGCACTCTCAATTTCTAGGTCGCGGCAGACTCAGGAATTGCCGTAGTTTGACATGAAGACTCGAGTGTCTTGTCAGTGATCTCCCCAGAGAGGGCTCCAAGCAGCGAAAAGGATGTTCCTGGGATGTCCCTGCTGAGCGCCCCGGACTGCGACAAACGGACGTCCCCTGGATGTCCCCGGTGAGCGCCCTTGGCAGCCAAACGGATGTCCCCAGGATGTCCTTGGGGAGCGCTCCAGACAGCGAAGAGGACGCTCCTCTGCCTTGCGACTGCCCCGGGGCAGAGGAAGGGTGTCCGCCGAGTGCTCTCGGAGAGCGGTGCACGGCTGCAAAGATGATGTCCCCAGGATGGAGCTGGTGAGCGTGAGCGCCCCAGACAGGAAAAAGTGTGCATCCGCCTGGGATAGCGGAGAGCGCCCCAGACTACAAAAATAGTGTCCTTGGGATGTCCCAGGGAGCGCCACGGATTGCGCGCCCTGGGCAACAAGAATGACCTCCCCGAGATGTGCCCGGCCCCCGGTGGGCGCCCTGGGCTGGAAAAAGTGTGCACGAGCCCATTTGGGATAGCAGAGTGCCCTGGGCAGCAAAAGGATGTCCCCAGGATTCGGCGGCGAGCGGGGGGGGGAAATGAGAAGGAGGAGGCCTTGTCAGCAGGCGGCGTGACTTCTCAGAAGCCCTCGCGCTTCTGAGAGGTCTTCTGTGTCGTCGGGGAAGGCAGATTCTTCACGCTTCGCGTATCCCCACCAGCCCATCTCGAAACAGCAACTCTTGCGAAGCATGCCGACAGTCGTGTTTTTCAGGCGTGTTTCCGCCTGCCCCCGCATATCTCCCCTGTTCCTCCTTCCTCCCGCCTCCTTGTACATCCTCCTTGTGGTGGGAGCGGGAGAAGGACGAGGCGGAGGAGGAGGGAGAGAAAGCGCTCCTCGTGGTTTGAGTCGTTTGGGGTTTCTCGTCCTGGTGTGAGTCGTTCGGGCCCTTCTTCCTGGTGTGAGTCGTTCGGGCTCTTCGTGGTGTGAGTCGTTCGGGCTCTTCGTCCTGGTGTGAGTCGTTCGGGCTTCTCGTGGTGTGAGTTGTTCGGGCCCCTCGTCCTGGTGTGAGTCGTTCGGGCCCCTCCTCCTGGTGTGACTCGTTCGGGCTCCTCGTGGTGTGAGTCGTTCGGGGCCCTCGTCGTGGTGTGAGTCGTTCGGGCTCCTCGTGGTGTGAGTCGTTCGGGCGCCTCGTCCTGGTGTGAGTCGTTCGGGCCCCTCCTTCTGGTGTGAGTCGTTCGGGCTCTTCGTGGTGTGAGTCGTTCGGGCCCCTCGTCCTGGTGTGAGTCGTTCTTGGGTGCCTTGGGGGAGCCTCTTCGGGCCTCTTGGGAGCCTCTTGGAGGCCGTTTGGGGCGTCTTGGGGGCCTCTTGGCGGCCCCAGGGGCTTCCAGGAGCGTCTTGGGTGCCTCGGGGGAGCCTCTTGGGGCCTCTTGGGGGCCTCTTGGGGGCATCTTGGGGGCCTCTTGGAGGCCTCTTGGGGCCTCTTGGGGCTCTTTGGGAGGGGTCTGGGAGGAATCTTGGGGTCATCTGTCGGGCGATCGATCACAGATGGGGCGAGCATTTTTCTCCCCCCCCCCGTCGGGGCCAGAATCCTCGTGAGGGGTGTCGAATTTTAGCCCTCCCAGGAGTCGAAAAAGAACCCTCCAACCACCCGCGAAACGCCCTCTCCAGGCCCAGGGGGAGGGGGTAGGGGGAGGGGTAAACCCCTCCCCGAAGGGGAAGAAGGGGGGTTGAGAACAGAGAGAGCTCGCTAAACCACTCACGCCCAAAGGGCTGGTGGGACTTCTCAGGAGGCCAAGGGACTTCCGAGCCTTCTGCGAAGGCCCACCCCTTCGCACTTTCCCCCCTTGCGCGCCGAGGAAGGATGTCCATGGAGAGCGCCCCGGACTGCAAAAAGGATGTCCCCGAAACGTTCCTGGCGAGCGCCGCGGACTGCAAGAGGTACGTTCCCAGGATGTGCCTGGCGAGCGCCCGGATGTCCCCAGTGAGGGCCCCAGACTGGAAAAAGTATCCCCGCCTGGGGTAGCGGAGAGCGCCCTGGACAGCACAAAAGATGTCCACGTGATGTCCTCGGAGAGCGCCCCGGACTGTAAGCCCTAGACGTCCCTGGGATTTCCTCTGCGAGCGCCCAGTGAGCGCCCCGGACTCTAAAGTGTACCCACCTGGGATAGCGGAAAGCGCCCTGGACACCAAAAAGCATGTCCCTCGAGCGCCCCAGGCTGCAAAATGGCTGCGAGATGTCCCCATAGAACGCCGCGGACTGTCAAAAACGAAGTCCCCCGGATATGCCTGGCGAGCCTCTGGATTGCAAGAATGATGTCCCCAGGATGTCCTTGGTGAGCGTCCTGGGTTGAGAAAAAGTGTGTCCCCACCTAGGATAGCCAAGAGCGTCCTGGACAGCAACATGGATGTCCCATGATAATGCCCCGGCCAGCGAAATGGACGTCCCTGGGATTTTTTCGGCGAGCACCCCTGACAGCGACAAGGATTTCCTTGGGGTCTTCATGTGGTGAGCGCGTGAGCGCCCCGAGCTGGAAGAACGACGTCCCTGGGATGTCCCCAGTGGGCGCCCTGGAGGGCAAGCAGGATGTCCCCGGGGTATCCCCACCGAGCGCGCCCCTAACAGCAAAAAGGATGCCCCCAGAGTGCGCCACGGACTGCAATCACGGCGCACGTAATTGACGGCAGTCCGCGCTAACGGAGGTCAGCGAACCCTGGAGGGTTTCTCCGAAGGGCTTAGGCGAATCCTCCTCCTCCTCCTCTTTCCCCTCCTCGTCCTTCCCCTCCTCGTCCTCCTCCTCTTCCTCCTCCATCCTTCTTCTTCTCCTCCTCCTCCTCCTCCTCCTCCTCCTCCATCCTCCTCCTCCTCCTCCTCCTCCTCCTCCTCCTCCTCCTCCTCCTCCTCCTCCTCCTCCTCCTCCCCCTCCTCCTCCTCCTCCTCCTCCTCCTCCTCCTCCACCTCGGGTCGCCTACGGCTCCGGGGGAAGCTGTACAGCCAACCCCTTCTGGCTGACCCGGGTTAGGGAGCCACGTGGGGCCGATTCCCCATTTCCGCCTTCCGCTGATCTGTGCTTGGGAGCTGTCAAGCGGCTGGCCATGCTTCGCGACGTTGCCTTGGTCGGCCCAGGTTTGTGCCCACGCAGGTCATAGTGCGTCCCCGCTGCAAAACGGACGTCGTCCCTGGGATGTCCCCCGGGGAGCCCCGCGGACTGCAAAGAGGATGCTCGCGGGATGTCCCTGGAGAGCGCCCTGAGCAGGGGGGCATTTCTGGAGTGGTGGAGATGTGGCGTGGTGCCGGTGCAGGGATAAGTGGGTGTTCAGTGTTTGTCATCGTAAATCACTTGGAGCACGCTTGCGATATATAACGTTTCCACTCCGCTGCGCGAGAACGAGAACATATTTGTGGTATGCAATAAGGAGAATCAATTCGTGTTGCCTCTCGAGGGGTATCTTGGGAGCGTTTTTTAGCTCTCTAATCCCACCAGCCCTTTGGGCGTGAGTGGTTTAGAGAGCTCTCTCTGTTCTCAACCCCCCTTCTTCCCCTTCGGGGAGGGGTTTACCCCTCCCCCTACCCCCTCCCCCTGGGCCTGGAGAGGGCGTTTCGCGGGTCGTCAGGGGGGTCAATTTCGACTCCTGGGAGGGCTAAAATTCGACACCCCTCACGAGGATTCTGGCCCCGACGGGGGGGGGAAGAAAAAATGCTCTCCTCTTCTTTGAAGCCAAAACCATTGATTTTACTACGGTTTTGGCCCCATTTTGGCCTTCTGAGGGGGCAGCGCTCATTAAAGCTCCCTTCTTTTTTCAAGGCAAAATCATCGATTTTACGAAGGTTTTGGGCCCATTTTGCCCTTCTGAGGGGGCAGCGCTAATTGAAGCTCCCCTCTTCTGTGATCGAGAAGCGCCCAGGAGGCACCAAGAGGGCCCAAGATGGCCCCAAGAGGCCCCCAGGAGGCCCCCAAGAGGCCTCCAAGACGCCCCCAAGATGCCCCCAAGAGGCCCCCAAGAGGCCCCAAGAGGCTCCCCCGAGGCACCCAAGACGCTCCTGGAAGCCCCTGGGGCCGCCAAGAGGCCCCCAAGACGCCCCAAACGGCCTCCAAGAGGCTCCCAAGAGGCCCGAAGAGGCTCCCCCAAGGCACCCAAGACGCTCCTAGAAGCCCCTGGGGCCGCCAAGAGGCCCCCAAGACGCCCCAAAAGGGTACGAGGTGCCCGAACGCCTCACGCCACGAGGAGCCCGAACGACTCACACCAGGACGAGGGGCCCGAACGACTCACACCACGAAGAGCCCGAACGACTCACACCAGAAGGAGGGGCCCGAACGACTCACACCAGGACGAGGCGCCCGAACGACTCACACCACGACGGAGCCCCGAACGACTCACACCACGAGGAGGGCCCGAACGAGTCACACCAGGAGGAGGGGCCCGAACGACTCACACCAGGACGAGGGGCCCGAACAACTCACACCACGAGAAGCCCGAACGACTCACACCAGGACGAAGAGCCCGAACGACTCACACCACGAAGAGCCCGAACGACTCACACCAGGAAGAAGGGCCCGAACGACTCACACCAGGACGAGAAACCCCAAACGACTCAAACCACGAGGAGCGCTTTCTCTCCCTCCTCCTCCGCCTCGTCCTTCTCCCGCTCCCACCACAAGGAGGATGTACAAGGAGGCGGGAGGAAGGAGGAACAGGGGAGATATGCGGGGGCAGGCGGAAACACGCCTGAAAAACACGACTGTCGGCATGCTTCGCAAGAGTTGCTGTTTTGAGATGGGCTGGTGGGGATACGCGAAGCGTGAAGAATTTGGCTCCATTTTTGGGCCTTGTTCTAAACAGAACTTTTGAGTCCATGCTGTGGGCCTTGGGGGCTGTCTTGGGCGGGGGCTCTGCGGGCTCTTTCGTCCCATTCCCCACTGGGGCCCTGTTGGCGGCCTCTTGGGCCATCTTGCTTGGGAGTCTCTTGGGCCGTCTCGGGCTTTCGGAAGCCGAGGAGGGCGAGACCGCGAAACTTGTCAATCAATGATTCTGGCCACTGTCGGCCTTCGTGGGGATCCTCTTGGAGCCCTCTTGGGGCGTTTTTAGGGCCTTTTGGCTGTCTTGCAGACATTTTTGGCCGTCTTGGACCATTCGGACCATTCACGGACCGTCTTGGAGCCGTCTGGGGCACTTTGAACGCGTCTGGGAGCACTTCTTGAGCTGATGTGTCCGCTGGCACCATGAGTCGGAAGCCAGCACCATTGGGCGGGACCCCCCCTTCGAAACTGGCCTGGCCGGACTTCCTCCCCAGAGAGGGGTTTGGGGAGGAGTGGCAACATTCGCACACGCCGAGGGAGCCCCAACGTGTCTGTTCCCGAATCTGCTTTTCTATGCCATTCTGAATTTGGAGTAGCCTGACCAGCAGTCTCTCAAACTTTACCGCATTCAATTTGGTTTGCTATTGTGTTTTGTTTGATGAGGCGGACGGGAGACTCGCATAAGCAGCTATTGTCGTCGTCGTCATCAGATTTCCACCATGATCGTCCTAAGAAGTGCACTCACGCATCACGATAACGCAGACCGTGAGTGCGTCAAGGCAATCGGTTGAGTAAGGGCGACGATGTCTATATCGGCTCAAGCTGCTGCTGCTGCTGCTGCTGCCGCTTTCAACCTTTCCTCTCGCATGCTGCTGTGCTGTTGCAGGCTCCTTCACGTCCCCCCGGGAGACATGGATGTGCTGCGCGAAATGACGAAGGCGTGCGCGTTGCACATGCAGGAATTGCTACATCGCATTGGCAACTCCTGCTTTTGATGTGGGATGCCAGTCGTTGTCGCTAATTGCCTTTGTTGCGCCCGCATTCACGAAATTTTATGTGTTCATCGTCTCTCTTTTCCTCGTCCTCACTTCTGTTGTTATCCTCACACATTTCGGGAATGTTCTCGATGCGGCGATCCTGGGCCATGGTGCATGCATGTTGCATGTGGATATTGCATATGAGTGTTGTCTTCGAGGGTTGCGCATCGTTCGAAACTCATTGGTTTCTTGCTTGCATTCTTATTTCTCGGTGGCGCATCGGTACCAGTTCAATGCTTTTCCTGTGCAGCTAGCTGTTTACCCGTCTGCCTCACAGTGCACACCCCAGGCCGTTCTCTTGTGATGGTATCTCGCCCGTGGTCTCTCGTCTCGCCTGAACAAGCCTGTCCGCACCTGTACGAGGAGAGTCGGAGAGGAATAGGGTCAGGGGTGACAGGGCTCGATTAAACATTTGTCGTTGCCGTGGGATCTCTGTCATTCTGTCGCCTCCACAGATAGGGCGCACACGGAGAGTAAGTGTGGCAGGGAAGTGCTGCCTGCGCTGGTTTTCTTGTGTGGGAGGGGCCATGCTCCCACAGTGATTCCAGCCCTGGCCTGCGACTCTTTCGATAGCGTCGGAAGCTTTTGTCTGGCCAATATGGTACAGCAGGGCTGGCCTGGGAGCTGGTGTTGTGAGTATCAGCTCGTCGAGCAGTAGCGCAAGTGTGCTTTGCATGCGCGCAACATTATTGTGATACTCTGATGTTGGGACAAAAAAAGGAACAGACAGAGGCAGACAACAATAGACAGCCAGCCATATACGCACAAACTTCCTGATCCTGAGCCAGAACCAGGGCCTTGGCCAGCGCCGAAGAAGAGGTGACGATCCCTCGCGGTTTGACAGCCGACAGTGCCAGCCGTGCTGTGGATCACAGTTGTCAGATGTTGGCGCTCATGAGTACTCAAGCCAGCCATGGGCATTTGCAGATCTACGGCGCTGTTCGCATTTGCAGATTCGACGGTCGAGGGGTGGGGGGCATGCGAGCCACGAGAGATATTGGAGTTACAATGTGGCGTGCCTGGCTACGCGTAAGTGTTTGCAGTTCCGGCGCCCACTTGGTGTGTGACACAGCGGCTGCTCCGCGTGACACATCGGCTCGCTGCGCTATGCGGGCACCAGGCAACTTATACCTTCATTATTGACGCTTCGCGTGTCCACAACAGCCAATCCAGAAAAGATACCCAAGGGAGCTGTCTGCAGGACTGGCGTAGATAAGCATATAGTGAGGCAAGGAGGCCAACAATTCTGAACTTAGACCTTGGGGAGCCTCTTGGAGGCCTCTTGAAGCTTTCTTGGGCTCCTTCTAGGAGTCCTCGAGGCGCTCTTGGGGCTTTCTTGGGGCACTCTTGGGGGTCTCCTGGGGCCCTCTTGGGGCCCCTTGGGGCTTTCCCGGGCGCTCTTTTGGGGCCGTCTTGGAGCCCTCCTGGGCTCGTCTTGGGGGCTCTCTTAGCCCATCTTGGAGCCATTTCGGGGTTCGGAAGCCCATCGGAAGCGAAAAGCATAATGCCATAATTAACTAGTTGTCTGTTGTTGGTGAGTGTTGTATTAGTTGTAGTTGTAGTTGTAGTTGTTGTTGTTGCTGTGGTTGTTGTTGTTGTTGTTGTTGTTGTTGTTGTTGTTGTTGTTGTTGTGGTCGTCGTCGTTGTTGTTGTTTTTGTTGTTGTTGCTGCTGATGTTGTTGTTGGTTGCTATTGTTGTTGTTGTTGTTGTTGTTGTTGTTGTTGTTGTTGTTGTTGTTGTTGTTGTTGTCGCTGTTGTTGTTGTTGTTGTTGTTGTTGTTGTTGTTGTTGTTGGTTGCTATTGTTGTTGTTGTTGCTGTTGCTGATGATTGTTGTCGTCGTCGTCGTTGTTGTTGTTGTTGTTGTTGTTGTTGCTGTTGTTGCATGTTAATTACCAAACAAGTTATTATTGTTGGACCCCTTACAGGCGCACTGGCGCTCTCGCCGAGGCGCCGGCTGCACTTTCATTGAAAATGAGGCTCACTCTCAAGCGGTTTGAGGGACCGCCAAAACCGGCCCCCCAACCACAGCAACGCTCCCGTTCGAGACTTCCTCCTTATTTACTCAGGGCCGGTGCTCTTGCTCGCCGCCGAAAGCAGCCGTCTCATCAAAACCAGCGTTCCCGCTCGAGACGTCCTCCCGTTTTACCTTGGACAGGCGCGCTACTCTTTCTCTCATCGGCGCCGCCCCCCAGCAACAACAACGCTCCCGCTCGAGACTTCCCCCCTTTTTTACTCAAGGCGGTGCTCTTGCTCGCCGCCGACAGCCCCCGTCCCGACAAAACCAGCGTTCCCGCCCGAGACTTCCTCCCGTTTTGCGCTGGACTGGCGCGCTTTTTGTCCTCCTCTTCCTCCTCCTCCTTGTCCTCGTCCTCGTCGTCGTCCTCCTCCTCCTCCTTCTCTTCCTCCTCCTCCTCCTCCTCGTCCTCCTCCTCCTCCCTCCTCCCCCCTCCCTCCTCTTCTTCTTTCTTCTTCCTTCCTCCGCCCCCTCCTCTTCTCCCTCCTCCCTCCTCCGTCCCTCTTTCCTCCCTCCTCCTCCCTCCCCCCTTCTCCTCCCTCTCCTCCTCCTCCTCGTCCTCCCTCCTCCTCCTTCTCCTCCTCCTCCTCCTCCTTTACCTCCTCCTCCTCCTCCTCCTCCTCTCCCTCCTCCTCCTCTTCTTCCTCCTCCTCCTGCCTCTTTCCCCCCCCTCTCTCTTCATCCCTCTTCCTCCACCCCCTCCTCTCCTCCCTCCTCCCTTCTCCCTCCCCCGTCCCTCTTTCCTCCCTCCTCCTCTCTCCTCCCTCCTCCTTTCCCTTTTCGTCCCCCTTGTCTCCTCCCTCCTCCTGCCTCCCTCCTCCCTCCTCCCTCCTTTCTTCCCCTTCCGTCCTGCCTCGTCGCTCCCGTTTGATACTTCCTCACCTTTTGCTCAAGACTGGGGCCCTCGTTTCGGCATCGCCTCTGGGGGGCTTCCAAGAGTCCCTGTTGAACCTGAAGTATAAATTTGTTATCATTTTTGGAGAACGCAGATAATGTGGAGGAGGGGGAGGAGAAGAAGGAGGACGGATGACTTCCAGGGACTCCAAGGACCGAGGGTCGAAGGGTTGACTTCAGGGATTCTTTGAGAGGGTGTGGAGTGGCAGGTGGGGGAGGCGTGAACGTTCAGGGTCACGCGCCGAGGCCGCAGGATGGTGGCGTATCATCTCGGACGAGGAGTAATAACCACCTCGTCCCCGGAGGTACTGCTACTACAACTACTGCTCCTTCCTCACCTTCCTCCTCCTCCCCCTCCTCTCCTTCTTCCTGTCCCTCATCTTCCCTCCCCATCCTTGTCCTCTTCCTCCTCCTCCGGGTTGCGGGGCGAGCGCGAGATGATTGCGATGGCGATGTGCCGTCCGAGCTGTGGATGTCGAAGTTCATCGGAAGAGGTTGTGGCAGTATTTTCTTGGGCGGGAGATCTGGGTGAGGGAATATCGGGCCCCGCGTGCCAGAAACATCTCCTATGATGGGGTGTGGTATCCAAAAGGATGCATGTGACATGTGGAAGCATGGCGCATGATGGTAAAATGATTGTTTTGTTTTTGTTTTTGTTGTTGTTGTTGACTTTTCATTGCGGCTTACTATTGATTTTGATCCCCTCTCTGGTGGCCGTTATGTTTTTCAATTGAAGCGCCCTTCCCTGGGGTCGCGCCCGGTTTTTTCTCACGGGAAGTCACGGGGCTCAAATTGTGTTGCCCTCCCCGTTTTGCAACGACTTCACAATTTATTTCCAGATCGCGCTCTCGCGCGGGAATCCCTCGCAACTTTCAAGACCAATCGCGCTCTCGCGTCGGACTTCCTCCCGGCTTATTCAGACGATGCGCCCTCGGCGCTCAGGAATCACGCTATCGTTCTAGCTGTTCTCACGCTTTACTGGGAATCGTGGTGTCGCTCGATATTTCCACGCGATTCATGTAGGACCCACACTGCAACGACCCGCCTGCTCGACCTGGTCGTCTGGGCCAGCCTTCTCGACCTGCCCGCTATGTGTCTGCCCGCCCGATCTGCCCTTCTGGTTTTACCACTTGTTTTCTGCTCCTGGCCCTCCTCCTGCTACATTCTTCTCCCTCGCCCTTCCGCCCGTCTTCTTTTCTTTTGTTTTAGGGGATGCAATACATGCGCGTGGCAGGTTAGGAAGATATACCCTCAAGGGGGTACGATCGAAGACGACGAGGGCGGGTACCGAGGGTCTTGGATATACGTATTGATTGGCACGTTCGCAGATATGAGCGAACAGTCTTAAAACGATCGTTGTTGTTGCTGTTGTTTTTTGATTGTTGCTGCTGCTGTTGGTGTTGTTGGTCTTGTTGTTGCAGTTGATATTGTCGTTGCTGTTGTTGTTTTTGTTGTTGCCGTTATTGTTGTTGCTCTTCGTGTTTTTGTTGTGTTTGTTTTGTTTTGTTGTCGCTGTTGTTGTTGTTGTTGCTGTTGTTGTTGTTGCTGTTGTTGTTGTTGCTGTTGTTGTTGTTGTTGTTGTTGTTGTTGAACATTATTACTTCTAAAGAATAATTATTGTTGGGGCCCCTGGTGCGCGGCCCCCCCGCCGCGCCTAGGCCGCAGCCACGTTTTCATCATTTTCGTGAGGAAGTCTCAGGCAAAACGGGTTGGTCCGGATCCGGTTGTTTTGTTACGGGCGGTTTTCCCTTGCAAAAATAAGCTAAAGTGGACATTTCTTGTTCTAACATAACCAAACTTCAATAATCCCTTGCAAAAAATAAGGTAAAGTGGACATTCGCGCGCGCAAGACGAAATCCTTCCAAAACCTTAGTTTTCGTAGCGATTTTAACATAAAAACATCAAAAAACCAATGGTTTTTCAAAAAAAATGTCAAAATTTCATCCCGCGCGCTCTTGCGGATTCGTAGGAAACCCAACACTTTTTAAACATTTCTGTCAAACGGGCTTTTGCGAGCAACTTTTTCGAACTTCTGCAACAACGGTTGCGCACCTGCCAGGGCCATCATCCCTGTCAAATAATACCATGCGGGACACATTCGTTTTTTCTTCGCGCGCGCACGCCGTCGTCGTCGGCCGCGGGGCCCTGAATAGTAGCCACGGTCGTCCGCATGCCACGAAGTGAAGTGTCCGAACGTCATAGGGCGGGAAGCTGGGTGTGGGTGGTGGCGAAGAGTCGTTTGGAAATTTGGTAGAGCTTGAACCGGCCCCCCCACAAAGTGGGGGTATTGCCCGCCTCCTATGAAAACCCTGGCACTGGTGAGAACGGAGTGTCCCCACGTGCTAGTAATTGTTGTTGTTGTTGTTGTTGTTGTTGTTGTTGTTGTTGTTGTTGTTGTTGTTGTTGTTGTTTGTGTTCGTGTTTTTTGTTGTTTTGTTTTTGTTTGTGTCATTGTTGTTGATGTTGTTAGTGTTTTTGTTATTGGTTGTGTCATTGTTGTTGTTGTTGATGATGTTGCTGTTGCTCTTGCTGTTGCTGTTGTGTTGTTGTTGTGCGGTTGTGTGTGTGTGTGTGGTAGTGTTCTTGTTAGTTGTTTGGGATTTTTTTTGGTTCGGCGGCGTCCTAATCGTCCCTGATCCTCGGTCCTGCGCGGGGGAGGTTCTGGGCAGGCTGCATCATTATCACCACGGCTGGATTCGGTGGCTCGTCGCTTCTGGTCGACATTCCGCCCGCCCGGGTCCGAGGCGGAAGGTCAGACATCGGCCTTCCCCCCCCCGAGGGGCCGCGCGACTTCCTTGCTGGGCCAAGGGCCTGGCAGGGGCGGCGCGGTGCCGTTGCTGCCGCGAGGGGCCCGCAGGGATCCTCGCAAAAACATGCAACACCACCACCTCCTCAGCCCCTCCCTCCCCCCAGACCCCCTCTCGCGATGTGACAAAAATCACGGCGGGAGGTTTTTCGCTATTTTTGACCCCCGGGGGCCCGTGGCGGGCCTCGGGGCCGTCAAGAAACGGTTCAGGAGGAATTGCCCGTCCGGGAGAATGGGTCCACACCTCTGGGGGTCGACGCCGTGAAACAATCACGACGCCGGGGGGAGGAGGAATGGAGGTGGTGGTCGTGTATATTCTTGGGGCCTGCACCTGCTTGCCCCATGGCGGTTTGGGTCGACGCCTGGTAGCGCCGGCCCGAATCATCCGTGACGGAAGATTTTCGGTAACGGATTCTGGGCGCGCCAGATTTCGGTCGTGATCGGAGGAGGTCGAATTTCGGTAACGCAGCGACGGCGCGGGTTTCGACACCCTCGACGGCTCGTTCGTTACCGGAATTCGCGACCGGATGCCGTTTTTCGGTCGCGACCAGTTCGTCCAGAGCGTAATCGACAATTTGGGGTAACGGATGATTTGGGGATGGTGCTTCGGGTGGGCGTTCGATCGACTGCGTGCCGCTGGTCCTGTGCTGGCGCCGCCGGCACCGGACCACCCCAGGGGGCCCTGGGCCAACGCAGGGTGTGTGTGTGTGTGTGTGTGTGTGTGTGTTTGTGCAGCCCACGGGGAATCCTCGGGAGGCTCGGGCGCCACTTGGAGCCGTCTTGAGGCAGGCATGAGGCCTCGCCGAGGCATGTTGGGAGCCATTTGGAGCCATCTTGCGCTACACGGTGTCATTGCGGAGGAATCTTGAGCAATCTGGGGCCCTCTCGGAGCGATCCTGGGCCAAAAAGACATCTCGCGGCGCCCTCCTTCCAGACCCAGGGGGCGGGGTAGGCGGAGGGGTCAAGTTCCCAACGGTACGCCGCAAGCTCGCTCCCTCGCATCCGCCCTCCCACCATGACTTCGGCACCATGAGAGGTCGTCATCAGAAGGACAGCCATCGCGAACCAAAACACAGGAGCCCAAGGGTGCCAGGCGCGCCAGGTCCGCCAGATGTGCCACGTGCGCCGACTGTGCCAGCCGATTGTGCCACGTGCACCCGCCGCGTGTGCGACGCTCGCAGAGTGCTCCAGGCGGCGACAGATTTTGCATTGGGTTCCCTCCTGTGTCCCGCCTGTGCACGTAGCAGCACACACACACACATCGAGCAGCATGTCGATCCCACCCATCATGCGTGTGAAAAACTGATGGGAAGAGACAGTGGGGTGGTCAGCATAGTGTATGATGTGTGCGCCCACACTGAGTTTGTGTTTTTTCTTGACAGGGATAGTGGGACAGCGCACAGCGGGCAACTATGATCCCCTTCGCCATCCCTGTCAAAAGCCAATGCGGAATGGCGGCGGAGTGCCCGTTCCAGAACCAGATGTGGCCGCCAACCTCGAAGGCGTGCCTTGCCAAGAGAACCTTTTCGATCGAGTCCAGCTGGGCTACAGTGGGGACCATGACAAGAAACACCCTACGTTTCGTCAGGGGTCCCTGGGTTTCTTTGGCTGGCGTTCGGCGCGGAAGGTCGCCGCAATCTCAAAGAATCTGCACATGCCAGGGCACCCTGGGTTTCTTGGGCGTCGGTCAGTTTCGGGGCGCGCGCCCGAACCTCCAAGAAAGTTCCGGGCAGTCGGGGTACCTAGGTTTCTTCGCCACCCTGGCCTGAGTCAAATGGGCGCAAAGTTTCTTTTTCCCCCGAGGAGAAGTCGTGGCCTTTCTGTTTGTGCAAGTCCCGCAGCTCGCATTTTCGATCGCCTTGGGTTTCTGGATGTCAAATTGCTTGACGCCATCAGTCAAGAAACCGCTCGGTCCAGGGTGCCCTTGGTTTCTTCGTTTGCAGCCGAAGTGCAAGACATCCAACCCTGGACAACGAAACCTCGGCGGATTTCAGGGTTGTGTTTTTTGCGGCGAGTTTCTTGTGCATTGACCCCCACAGTATGTTTGCTTTTGTGTTAAATCCACGAGCAGAACTTCAAGCCATTGGAGATCAAAGGGCAGTCTCGCCATCGTCCCCCGCGCAATAGCATCCTGCCTTCTGCCAGCTTTAAATGCCCATCCGCGGGCCGCTGCGCTTCGGATGAGGCTGGCTCCGCTGAGTTCACCTTCCCCAGCCCGCCCCACGCCGACGTGACCGTGGAGGACGCGCGGGCAGGATTTGGAAGGGACCGTGCATAGTGTGAAGGGTGGGGGGTCCGAGGCTTCTGGCCTGCGCCCCAGGACCAGGACCCTGACTGCGGGCCCAAGACCCGGTCCCGTCCTAGACGGCCCAAGATGCTTGGAAGGCGGCCCGAGTGATTTAAACACAGCCCAGGGGGGCTCCGATTCTGCCCCAGAAGGGCGCGGGAGAGCTCCTAGGACGCACCCGAGATGCCAGACCTCATGATTTTCTGCACTTCTCAATGACTGGGCGTTCTTGCATTTTTGGTTTCTCGCATGTCCATTACTGCTCAAGAGGCCTCCGGGATAGGCCCCGGACAGCCCCAAACGCACCTGCCTCAACGGCCCCGCGAGGGTCCCCAGTCCGAAGAGGCCCACAAGACGGCTTCGAGGGGTCCCCAAGGCAGCCCAAGAGGGTCACGACACGGCCCGAGAGGGTCCCACGAGGCTCCCGAGAAGGCGCAAGAGTGCGCCCCCCAAGGAGCCCCGAGACTCTCTTCAAGAGGGCCGAAGCCACTCCGGAACCCTCCGAAAACCCTTCCAGAAGGGTTCCGAGAGGGTTCTTCGGCGGGTTCCGAAAGGGTTTTGGGGAGGGTTTCGGTCGTTTATTGGAGGAAGACCAGCACTCCGCGAGCCTTGGACCTTCCAACTCGAGACAGCCCTGCGACGGCCCGAGCGGGCCCTCAGAACTCAACCACAGTCGAGTAAGTTTCTCATCCCATTGGTTACAGTCAGCCCGCGTAGTAAGGATTGGCAACTTTCCCAAGGGTGCCCCTGCATCCTTGCCCCTTCGGCCCATCCTTAGCGACGTTCGCTGGCCAGCCTCGTCCGAAAAACGTCAACATCGCCTGTCAAGGCCCTTGCATCCTTACCGCGCATCCGTACTATACGGGTTGACTGTATCGGCCACCCGTCCGTTGGGGCTTCCACGGCATGTGGCCGCATGACCTCCGTCCAGCGACGAGGGGGCGAAGGCGGCCTGCTGTGGCCGTCCTCGACCTGTCTCTTCGTGCCGCTCGCCCTCCTCGTCCTCCTCTGCGTGCTCCTCGGGCTTCTCGTCCTGCTCGCTCTTCTCGTCCTCCTCGTCCTTGCCTTTTCGCTCTTCTCTCCTCGTCCTTCCTCTCTCTCTCTCTCGTGCTCCGCACTCTCACCGCTCCAGTCCCTGCATCTTCCTCCTCCTCGTGCGCCTTCGTCCTGCTTTCTTCCTCGCCTCCCCCTCGAGAGGTCACAGGAGTGCGCCAAGAGGGTCCGTTGAGCATCAGAGCTGGTTTATGCCCGTAAGCATTCACGGCCGTTTGATGAGTTCTGGTATTTCCAGCTACTCGGCGGAAGCAGCTCCACGGCGTGCCTCTTGAAAGGCCTCACGGCTGTCCGAAGATGCCATCGGCACCCTGCGGTTCTGGATTATCATGGCGCGGTCCCTCCTCCGCGCGATGCCCTTGCGCCCAAGCTAGCTAGAACCATTGCTCGCGCGCGTGCGAAGCGCGCTCGGTGACTCTAGAGTGGGACGTGGGTATCGTGTGTCTTTCCTTCCTCTGCGTGTCCACCTGCGTTTGGTTTTCTTCGGGACGCCTCACTGAGTGACACCGCCCACTCTCCTGTCGAATCCCCCAGGGGCCTTCGTGAGGCCGCCGGGAGCTTGCCGGTGCTGCCAGGAGCCTCCATGTCTGGGAGATCCAAGAGGTCCGTGGAGCGCCCAGGAGTGGCGCAGGACCCGTCCAAATTAGATCTGAGTGGCGGGTGGGACCCATCCGTGCCATTTTCTTATTTCCTGAATTTCCTGTAAAGTCAGAATCGTAGGAAAGCGCAGAGGAACGTCGAGACAGAGCGTATAACGACATCTGAGAGGTTTCTCTCTCTGTCTCTCTTTCTTTCTTTCTCTCTCTCTCTCTCTTTCTTCATCTCTCTATCTATATAGACTGGGTGGCAGCCATCTCCATAACTACTACCACTTAGGCCGTGGCATCTTGACCTTGTAGGAAGAAGGGACGGGCGAACGGTTCCATCTACCTGTTACGCGGGGCGTATGGGGGGGATGGTGGTTGAGGGATTCGGGGTGGTGGGGCGGGGGTGTGATAGAGCAAGCAAAACTGCCCATTCAGGATGTGGGGGGTTCAAGCGTACCGTGAAATTCCAGATCCTCCTAGCCGTTTGTTCACGGAAATTTAAGCCCAGCCCTTGCAGATGGCACGCGCACTTGCGTGCGTTCACGCTGCTCTTGGACAGGCACGGCTTCCCCGTTCCGTTTCTTCCCCCTGAATCGCCCCAGCAATGCGCATAATGAAAACGCAGTTTTCGGAAACACGTTCTCCCCCGTTTCGTATCCTTCCCCCTGAAACACCCCGGTAATGCGCTCAACGGAATGAACCACATCTCAAGATTCCAGGCAAGTTTTCTCCAGAGACCGCGTCTCGTCGGGGCCGTGCTCTGCAGTTGCACGAGCGGCGGTAGTGCGATGAAGCGGTAAAGAAATGCCCGGCGCGGTCGCAGCACCCCATTGGCAAGTCGATGCTTAAACAAACATTCTCGATTCGTCGTTGTCGTCGTCGCCGTCGAGGCCGTCGAGGCCGCTAGGCCGCAGCCAACGACCCTTGCCCAATGTGTTCCAAACTATCCTGTGGTGTTGGGTCCTCGTTTTGAAGAGACAGCGCCCCGCGTCTCCTCTCCTCTCCTCTCCTCTCCTCTCCCCTCCCCTCCCCTCCCCTCCCCTCCCCTCCTCTCCTCTACTTCTCCTCTCCTCTCCTCTCCTCTCCTCTCCTCTCCTCTCCTCCTCTCCTCTCCTCTCCTCTCCTCTCCTCTCCTCTCCTCTCCTCTCCTCTCCTCTCCTCCACCCCCTCCCTCCTCCCCTCCCTGCCTCTGCTCTCCGCATGCCCATCCCATTTCGGCACACCCCTCACACGTTTCGTTGCCCTTCAGGGTGCCCCACCGAAGGCCGAAGTGGCTGCGCTCGCATGGCACCACTGCGCCCATTTCGGCACACCCCTCACACGTTCCGTGGCCCCACAGGGAGCCCCACCGAAGGCCGAAGTGGCTGCGCTCGCATTGCACCGCCGCGCCGATTTTGACACACCCCTCACACGTTTCGTGGCCCCATAGGGAGCTCCACCGAAAGCCCAAGCGGCTGCGCTCGCATGGCACCACCGCGCCGATTTCGGCACACCCCTTCCACGTTTCGTGGCCCCATAGGGAGCTCCAGTCCCCAGTGCCAGCGCTCGCATGGCACCACCGCGCCAATTTCGGCACACTCCTCCCACACTTACTGGCCGCATAGGGAGCTCTACCGAAGGCCGAAGTCGTTGCGCTCGCACGGCGCGACCGCGCCCATTTCGGCACACCCCTCACACGATTCGTTGCCCCACTGGGAGCCCCACCGAAGGCCGAAGTGGCTGTGCTCGCATGTCACCACCGCACTCATTTTGGCATACCCTTCACACGTTTCGTGGCCCCATGGGAAGTTCCACCGAAGGCCGAAGTGGCTGCGCTCGCATTCCACCGCAGCGCCGATTTTGACACACCCCTCACACGTTTCGTGGCCCCATAGGGAGCTCCACCGAAAGCCCAAGCGGCTGCGCTCGCATGACACCGCCGCGCCAATTTGGGCACACCCCTTCCACGTTTCGTGGCCCCATAGGGAGCACCACCGAAGGCCGACGTCACTGCGTTCGCATGGCACCACCACAGCCATGTCGGCACACCACTTACACGTGTCGTGGCCCCATAGGGGGCTCCACCGAAGGCCCTAGTGGCTACGCTCGCATGGCACCACGGCATAACCTTCACACGTTTCGTTGCCCCAAACGGAGCTCCACCGACGGCCCCAATGGCAGTGCTCGCATGCGCCCACCGCGCCCATTTCGGCACACCCCTCACACGTTTCGTGGCCCCACAGGGAGCGCCACCCAAGGCTTATATGCCAGCGCTCGCATGCGCCCACCGCGCCCATTTCGGCACACCCCTCACACGTTTCTTGGCCCCATAGGGAGCTCCACCGAAGGCCCAAGTGCCAGCGCTCGCATGCGCCCACCGCATCAATTTTGGCACCCCCCTCACACGTTTGTTTCGTCGCCGCACAGGGAGCTCCACCGAAGATCCAACTGCCAGCGCTCGCATGCGCCCACCGTGCCCAGTTTGGCACACCCCTCCCACGTTTCGTGGCCCCATAGGAAGCCCCACCGAAGGCCCACATGCCAGCGCTCGCATGCGCCCACCGCGCCTAGTCTGGCACACCCCTCCCACGTTTCGTGGCCCCATAGGAAACTCCACCGAAAGCGGTGCATACAGCGACGGTGCCTACAATTGCATATGGTTGGGTCTTTCGTCAGGCTAATTTTTGAATTGCTCGGCCGCATTGAGCTCGCTCGCAGGGTGCGTTGGGGGATTCTGAATAACGTTGGCAGCAGCACTACGAGAACACGTATCAGGAAGCTTTTGTCGATTGAGTATGTTGGTCAGGGCTTGTGCTGCTTTCTCTTTGGGTGTAGGTGCTCATACGATTCGCAAGGTAGTCAGGGATTCATCGTATTTGTTGGTGATGTCTCTTATCACCGATTTCGGCACGTTTCCTATATTTCCTGCGAGCGCTGAAGGCATTATGTAAGTTTTAAGGCAGTGCTCCCAGGATTGCAAGTGAGCTTTGCAAGCAGGACATCTTTCTAGCTTGTCGTCTTCAGAAGTTCCATTGAATCGCGCCACTTGGATGATATGGCGACAACGCTTTGCAGCAGGATCCCGCGAGGCCGCACGACACGGCCACCACACACGAGGACTTCAGTTGAAGCTGTTAGCCGACCGAAACGGCTGAGGCCGCAGCCACAGTCTGGGCTCTCAAGCGCCGGGAGGCTTTGTAAGCGAATCGCAGTTTGTTCAAGGCTATTCGTGGCATCCTGCCAGCTCAATGATGTCTCGACTCTCCCTCCTTCTTCTCCTACGCCCTGCACTCCCCTACCAGAGTTCGTCCTGATACGTAGCCATATCGGCTCAGGATTGCGACAAACGGATGCCCAACTGCCCAGTTTGCCGTGCCTCCCACCAACAGGAGTGTGGCCAGCGGCAATTTATAGAGGCGACTTGCTCCGTCTGCCTTGAGCAAAAGTCTCCCTTCGTGACGTTGCCTTGCCGTCATGGGCTCTGCGACACATGTTTGCCTCGATTAGGATTCAGCTTGTCAGCCAGAGGCCCAGGCTCGCGCAGCAGGACGCCATGCAGACGTGACAGGCGTCGGGGGCTCTCTCGGGGGCTCTTCGGGCAAGACGCGTATCAAACAACCCTTCAGTCGGAGTCGGCGTATCAGGCCGAGCTCGCGGAGGAGGACGAGGAGGCTCTAGCTGAAGCGATGCACGAGGAGGCTGAAGCAGCTTACGACGCCGACCTCGAGGAGGCGGAGGCGCTGGCTTTTGCTCGAATGGAGGAGGATGAGGCTCTTGCTGAAGCAGCTTACCAGGCCGAGCTCGAGGCGGAGGAGGCGCAGGAGGCGCTAGATCAGGCTGCGTACGAGGCTGAACTCGATGAGCAGGAGCTGGCCGACGCGGCTTGTCAGGCAGAGCTCGAGGAGCAAGACGAGATCGCCGAGGCGATTTACGAGGCCGAGCTCGAGGCGGAAGAGGCGCTTGCTGAAGCGGCTTACGAAGCTGAACTCGAGGAGGCGGACCTAGCTGAGGCGGCCTACCAGGCAGAACTGGAGGTCGAGGAGGCTCTGGCCGAAGCGACATATCAAGCCGAGCTGGAAGCAGATGCTCTAGCCGTTGAGCTCGAAGAGGAGGAGGCGGATGCACGAGCTGAAACGGCAGGCTTTTACTAGGCTGATCTCGTGGATGCGGCTGAAGCTGCAACCACGCCGCCCAGAAAAAATGCAAGAAGCGCGTGCCACGCCAACGGAGCTCTTCTTACGTGTAGCAATCATCGTTTGGGACCACTCGCCACAGCAGGAGGGGCAACTGGTTTATAGGCTTTATGCTTGCCTTAACGGTCGGGGCGGGCGTGGCCGGCTTGTGCGGTTCTCGACGGTTCTCGACGCTTCGCGTATTCACACCCGCTCACCCAGAAGTGAGTTTTGGGCGCATCGTAGCTATCAGAGAGGTGAGGCTTGCTTAGGACTTTGCTGGAGGCCAGTGGCCCAAACAGGGGGTCCTCACATTAGCCCTGCCCCCTTTGGAGCCCATAGCTCTCCAAGAGCGCGTTCTGTGGTCGCGTGGTCGCTTTGAGGGGGGGTGGGGGCTCCCCCCCTTCCCGTGACGGAGGGGGGGGAACCACCCCCCCCTCCCCTCCCCTCCCCCTCGTCCCCTACTTCTACTCTCTCCCTATCCTCGGGCTGGCGCCTGCGTCGGCGGCGGCTGGCGGCGGCGGCGGGGACGACGACGTCCTTTTCTGGGCCGGCGCCGGCGCCTGCGGCGGCGGGCGGCGGCGGCGGGGAGCGTCGACGAGGACGACGGCGACGACGATGACGACGACGACGACGACGCTCCGCCACCGTGCCTTGGTTTTGGGTCAGAGTCCTTATGGATGCCTCCTTGGGTCTCGTCGGAGGGCTCCCGGGGGTCTCTGAAGGGCATTTGTGCAGATTCCTGGGTGCCTCTTGGGCGTCTCTTGGGGCCTCTCTGAGGTGGTGGTGGTGGTGGTGGTGGTGGTGGTCGTGGCAAGGTTGTGGTGGTGGTGGTGGTGTGGTTGGTGGTGGTGGTGGTTGTTGTGGTGGTTGTGGTGGCAGGTTGTGGTGGTGGTGGTGATGGTGGCGGTGGTGGTGGTGGTGGTGCGGTGGTTTCTGGTGGTGGTGGTGGTAGTTGTGGCGGTGGTAGGTTACGGTGGTGGTGGCGGTAGCGGTGGTGGTGTGGTGGTTTGTCGTTGTGGTTGTGGTGGTAGTAGTGGTTGTGGTGGTGGTGGGTTGTGGTGGTGGTGGTGGCGGTGGTGGTGGTTGTGGTGGTTGTTGGTGTTGGTTTGTTGCGGTGGTGGTGGTTGTGGTGGTTGTTGGTGTGGGTGGTGGCGGTGATGGTGGTGGTGGTGTGGTGCTTTGTTGTTGTGTTGGTGGTGGTGGTGGTGGTTGTGGTGGTTGTGGTGGGGGGGTGGCGGGTGTGGTGGCGGTAGTGGTGGTGGTGGTGCTGGTTATGGTGGTGTGGTGGTGGTGGTGGTGGTTTGTTGGTGGTGTGGTGGTGGTTTGTGGTGGTGGTTGTGATGGTGGTGGTGTGGTGTTTTGTTGTGGTGGTGCTGGTTATGGTGGAGTGGTGGTGGTGGTGGTGGTGGTGGTTTGTTGGTGGTGTGGTGGTGGTTTGTGGTGGTGGTGGTGGTGGGTTGTGGTGGTGGTGGTGGTGGTTTGGTGATGGAGTGGTGGTGGTTTGTTGTTGTGGCGGTGGTGGGTTGTGGTGGTGGCGGTGGTTTGTGGAGGTGGTGCTGGTGGTGGTGATGGCGGTGGTGGTGGTGGTGTGCTGGTTTGTGGTGGTGGTGGTGGTTGTGCTGCTGGTAGTGGTGGTGGTGGTGGCGGTGGTGGTGTGATAGATTGTGGTGGTGGTGGTGGTAGTGGTGGTGGTTGTGGTGGTGGTGTGATGGTGGTGGTTGTCTGTGGTGGTGGTGGTGGTTGTGTGGTGGGTTGGTGGTGGTTGTAGTGGTGGGTTGAGGTGGTGGTGGTGGTGCTAGTGGTGGTGGTGGTGGTAGTGTTGGTAATCGTCGCTGCGTCCCCGCCGTCAGCGCTGCTGGCCGCCGCCAGCGCCGGCGCCGGCGCCGCCGGCAGGGGGGGGTTTGGTACCCCCCACCCTCCCCTTGGGCTGCCTGTGGTCATCGTCGCTGCGTCCCCGCCGTCGGCGCTGCTGGCGGCCGCCAGCGCCGGCGCCGAGGGGAGGGGGGGTTTGAATCCCACTCCTCCCCCCCTTGGGAGTGGGGGGGGGTTCGGGAGGGGTGGGGTTAGGGGGGAGGGGAGGGGGAGGGGAGTCCCCCTGGTTCTGATCGACGTCGCCGAGTGTTGGGGGGCCCACCCCCTGGTTCGAAACGCGCCGCCGAATGTTCCCAAGGCAAGCGCCCGTGAAACGGGCTCTCTCAGAGCTCTAAACATAATCGCTCGGGCGGGGCTTTGTGAGGGGCTCTCTTGGGGTGCTCTTCGGGGCCATTGGGGCCCTCCTGGGCACTTGTGGGCCCGTCTTAGGTCTCTCTTGGGCCATCTCGGGGTCATCCCGGGGCCTCTCCGTCCCATCGGACCCCGAAGAGGCGATACGAAGCCCATTGAAATGCATGTTGTGAATGATATCGAAGGCTTCTACCGCGAATCACCGCGGCCCCCTGTCTTCTTGAAACGCCCTTGTGGTGAAATGTCGAGCGAAGGTGCGGCCATGCTAGTGGACTGCGTGTTCCCCCAGTGCTTGTGGAAACCATTTGAGGAGCACTGAGGAGCCACTCTCCGCGGTCATCTCGGGGCTACCTTGGGGCTCCCTTCGGGCTTGGCCGTTGCGGCCTTCCTGGGGGCTTCTTAGGGCCCTCTTGGGCCACCTTGGGGCCCAATTGAGCCTCTTGAGGCCATCGTGGGTGTTCTTGATGCCTCTCTGGCGTGGTGTTACCCTCCTGGAGCCACCTTGGGAAACATCTTGAGGATCTTGGCGGCCGCGGAGGGTGGGTTTTGAGGCCCTGGCGGCTGGTGGGGATACTGGTCGCACCGGAAGACGCCAGGCGCCGTCAGAACGAAGCGTCAATGCAACGGCCTAATTTTCGCACTGGAGCGCACAGGAGCGGGCTACGCTGCGGCTCAGGAAACGCGGAGGACCAGGCTGGTGGGGATACGCGAAGCGTTAACACGTTATTTAGTCTGAGGGCTTGATTTCAATAAATAGACACATGAATAACGGATTCAGTTGATGGGGTTCACCTAACTTATACAATATTTTTTGATTTTCCCAACCATCCTGTGGTGTTGGGTCCTCGTTTTGAAGAGACATCGCCCCGCGTCCCACCTCTTTCTCTCCTCCTCCTCCCCCTCCTCCCTCCTCCTACTCCTTCTCCTTCTCCTCCTCCTCCTCCTCCATCCTCCATCCTCCATCCTCATCCTCATCATCACCATCACCATCATCGTCGTCGTCGTCATCATCATCATCATCCTCATCATCATCATCCTCCTCCTCATCCTCCTTCTCCTCCTCCTCCTCATCATCATCATCACCATCATCATCATCATTCCCATCATCATCCCATGCGTCCGTGCCATCCATTTCGGCACACCCCTCACACGTTTCCTGGCCACATGGGAAGCTCTACCGAAGGCCCCAGTGCCAGGGTTCGCATGGCACTGCCGCCTCCATTTCGGCCCCCCTCGCAATCTTCGGCGCACCCCTCACACGGCTCGTGGCCCCATGGGGGGCTCCACCGAAGGCCTAAGTGGCAGGGTTTACATACGACCCCGCGGCCCATGTCGGCACACCCCTCACACGGTTCGTGGCCGTATAGGGAGCTCCACTGAAGGCCCCAGTGGCGTCCCCGCGATTCATTTCGGCACACCTCTCACACGGATCGTGGCCCCATAGGGAGCTCCACCGAAGCCCCATTGGCAGGGTTTACATGCGTCCCCGCGGTTCATTTCGGCACACCCCTCACACGGTTCATGGCCCCATGGGGGGCTCCACCGAAGGGGCAGTGGCGGGGTTTACATGCGTCCCCGCGATTCATTTCGGCGCACCCCTCACACGGTTCGTGGCCCCAGATGGGGGCTCCATGGAAGGCCCCAGTGGCAGGGTTTACATGCGTCCCCGCGATTCATCTCGGCACACCCCTCCCAGGGTTCGTGGCCCCATGGGGGGCTCCATGGAAGGCCCCAGTGGCAGGGTTTACATGCGTCCCCGCGATTTCTTTCGGCACACCCCTCACACGGGTCGTGGCACCATAGAGAGCTCCACGCAAAGCCACAATGGCAGGGTTTACATGCGTCCCCGCGATTCATTTCGGCGCACCAATAACACGGTTTGCGGCCCAACAAGGGGCTCCACCGAAGGCCTCAGTGGCAGGGTTTACATGCGATCCCGCAATTCACTGCGAGGAGTAGTCGCTTGCGCAAGGGCCCGGGGCTTTGGACACCGCGGGCCCCCCTCCTTCGTCTCATCTCCCTCGCGGTACTCTCAGCTGCATATGGTTGGGTCCTTCGTGAGGCTTATTGAGTTATTCTGGCGCCCTCCTGGAGAGGCCGCGGCGAGCTCAGGTGCCAGAATGAGTTCAATCATTTCATTGATCTCCAGGAAATCATCATTAAACAATGGAATACGTTCGCCTGCGCCTGAGAGTTGCCGCGAGCTCCGCCAGGAGGGCGCCATCATATATTAATTGAACACGAGCAGTTATCTGGATTAGTTTTAAGTATATAAGTCAGCGTCAGGGCCTAATTCAAATATTTAAACGAAATAATTACATTTGTTTCGTTTATGTTAACTCATTAACCCTGAAGGCCTGATTTATATACCCCAATCACTTACATGAATCTGGATTTATGTAATTTGTTCCATGTGTTAATTCTACTTGGAGCACCCTTCCCGAGAGGCCGCGGCGTTCTCAGGCGCGAAAGTTGATTTAGTTATTTCATGGGCTCCCCCCCAAAAAGACCCTCCATCCTTTTTACATACCTCATCTTGGGCGGACGTGAGCTTCTCTAATCGCACTTTGGTGATACAGTCCTGGCAACTTGGCGTCGGAGAGCGCCTGATCAGAGCAATTCGTCCTTTCGAGTTGGCTCCTCCTCCTCCCCATCATCATCATCATCATCATCATCATCATCATCATCATCATCATCATCATCATCATCATCATCATCATCAGCATCAGCATCAGCATCAGCATCAGCATCAG